CCTTCTTTATTAAATCTGCGCCTTTCTCCCCTATCATTATTGTAGGTGCATTTGTGGATCCACTAGTGATTGTTGGCATGATAGATGCATCGATAACTCTTATACTTTGCACTCCGTAAACTCTTAATTGAGCGTCCACAACAGCCGTGGGATCATCTTGAGGTCCCATTTTGACTGTACCAACAGGATGGAACAACGTACAAGACAAATGTCGCAAGTGACATCTCCAATACTCGTCCGAATCAGGTTCTGTGTGTCGACAACCTGGAATGTCGAAGTGATGCAGCCGTNGTAAATGTCTCCGTCTTCAGCATTTTCTTTATGAAGTCTAAGGACTTCAACATTGTTTCAATATCTTCTTGCTGAGAGAAACTGTTCCCGTAGATCTTAATAGGGACCGCCGGATCCTTGCTACGTAGCCGTAACTCACCTCTGCTCTTCGGCTTTAGTAGACACGGCATAGGTACTACCATATCAACTTCCTGAAGCATTTTCATTACATCGTGCTTTATCTCTTCATCTATACGAAAAACCTGCCCCATTGCTTGCACGTTATCTACACGCCACCGCGGATAGTGAGTATGAAAGAACTGTATGTCGGGATACTTGGAGTTCGCATCATTTACATTGACGAAACCTACAAAATTGGAGTCACCGTTGGTTGCCAAAATACCCCGTTTATGTATCACATATTTATAAGTTTCTTCCAATATAAATGTGGGCGATCGCGGTGTCGCGGTCTCGTTCTTGCAAGCTAAGTATAAACCTGGCCAACCGACATGATTCTGCAGATTTTTACCGACTGGTAAATCAACAACGTTCGGTATTCCCATTTCGAGCAAATGCTGCTTAGGCCCGATGCCGGAAAGCATGAGCAGTTGTGCACTGGCGATACTGCCGGCGGACAAAATCACTTCCTTCGATGCTTTCACGTCGATCGACCTGCCATCCTTCAGAGTCACGCGTACTCCGATTGCCCGATTGCCATCCAGAAGAACAGCGTCGGCCCGGGTTGATTTCATCACGTACAGATTGCTCCTGTTTTTAATCGGCGATAAGAAAGCCTTTGCCGTGCTCATCCTGTGACCGTCTTTCAAGGTTCCTTGAGCCATACCATATCCAATATATTTGTTACCGTTGATGGTTTCTAATATGGGTACATTCAGTTCACGAGCAGCGTCCATAATCATTTTTTGCATATCTGTGACGCTATAATTAAAATATCTGATGTACAATGGTCCACCGCGACCGCAATACCTTTTTCTCCACTCGTCAGTGTGTACACTGTCGCAGTTTTGTGATTTCTTAAAATATGGTAAGATCTCCTCGTAGCTCCATCCTTCGTTACCCATCCGGGACCACTCATTATAATCCTCTTCGTTACCCTGAGTGTAGAGCATACCGTTTATTGTAGAGGTACCACCGAGAGCTTTACCCTCGTGCCATATGCAGACCTTGTTTTTATAACTTTGGCAAATATGTTCATCGGATTCAGCGTCGTAAGCGTAATCTTCCGGTGATAACATCAAAAATACGAATAACCCGGGGATTTCGCTGATAAACGAAGGATCGTCTCCAGCTTCGATCAATAAGACTTTCCAGTTTTCTACTTCGGTTAAGCGATAAGTTACTACGGACCCTGCACTTCCGGCACCCACGATGATAAAATCGAATTTAATGTTGGTATCCACGATTTCTTCGGAACGATCCGGTGGATAATTGTTTTTGTTTTTGAAATTGCTTAGTGCTGCTAGAAATATTTGGAGAGAAACGAATGTGAGAACACTAGTCGTTGCAGCGGCACAAGTAGCTGTCAAGTACCTCATCATGTCCGACTTTGTCGCGTACGCGATGATTCTGTTCTGTTGAATATATAATATTTCAGATTAATGCATATTTTTTGATTGATCCGCAAGTTGCTGCAATATTATCGTCTTGTCATCAGTTAACTTTTGAGTTTTATATAAAATAAAATATTATACGGAAATAGTAGCGGGGCTTATACACATTAAATTAATTATTCTGTCACACGGAAATTTGTATTTTGATGGTTACTTACCGTGTCCGAAAGATTTATTTTCCTTTCTCGTTTTTTTTCTTTTTTTTTCTTGACAAGTCTCTTTCTCAATTGGATATATATTGATGAAAATATTACGAATTTCAACTGTAGTCTTAAAGTGTTAACTTATTGTTTCCCAAGTTTCACGATTAACTGAACTGTTCAACGTGCTTTATTCAAACTACTGGAATGACTGAATCAATTCGTAGAGTCTCGTCTCAATTCTGTCCAGAACCTTGAACTATAGAAAGTCTCCAAATTCTTTAAAAGTTAGTCTTCGCTCATTGATCAAAGTTCAAAGAATATGTATGTATATTTCCATATATGCATATGTATGGTTATGTTTGTAGTGTTATGTATATGTTATATGTATATATGTATAGATATATTTGTAGTGTTTGTTCGCGTATATTTTAATTCGCTGATCGCAGTAAACTATCTTGTTAACAACTCAAGCCGCTGATGGTTTGTACTATTATAGCTAATGTTTTAAACCAGCTTTTAGTTTAGAATTTTCTTTTGGTAAAGTCAGTCAGAGGACGGTTGTAACATTTTTTTTATATGCTTTGAAACATATAAAAGATTTAACTAAGCGAACTTATTATTTATGAAAATACGTAATAGATGTTCAAATTGTGAAAATTATATACACATGTCATTTTGTCATATACGTATCTAATTTTCACAGCTATCTGACTAACTACTGCGCATGTACGTGGATCAAACTTTCATCGTAATTTTTGTATTTTTTCAAAATATATAAAAAGAGAAATGTTGCAACTGTTCTATGATTAACTGTACTTATCATAAGGATAGTTATGTTGAGTAACAAAATTAGCAGGGAAAAATTAATAGTTGATCTGGATAATGAATCTTTCTGACAATCGGGAATGCGACATTATATAAATCATCAAATATATTATGAAGAAAAGAAAAATTCATATTATTCTACTAGGTGTTTATATCTTTTATGAATATGTATATTTATAAATTCGTGCGAGACAGATTTTACTTTGTGTACATATTGCCAAAAATACCACTACTACTTTTTACCTACTATTATACGCGATCATTGATCTGAACTTTTGCTGTTCTCGATAGTTTTTATAATCTAAGATAATCCTATTATTACGTATAATTTGATAGAGTTGATGCGTTGTCGAAACGGCGAAGATAGTGTGGGGTGTGCCAGAGCAGCGTGGCAGAACGAAGGATGGTGACGAGTAATATAGTATCTTCCTTTTGAAAATAAACGTGTTTTTATTCTGTAAGATCCGTTGCAGTATTTCGTACTTAACCGACAGCGTGTCGATATCCGAGACCTGAGAAGTCTAGAGTCGAGAGTCTGCTTTTGGTTGATCGGCTCGTCCTTATATTCTAATCGAATATCCCAGTCAGAGGGAGTAGTTTTGATGATGCAGCTTTGCTTGGGCGCGGACGCGAGCTATCTTAATTCCGATATTGCACACCGAAAAGTGCAGAGTTGCATCTTTGCAAGGTTACGTCTCGTGGTCGTGACAACTTATCATTGTTATTAATTTGATTTGCGGTCGTGACTTTACGTGTACTTCCGCGAGATTGCAATCTCGTGATCATAATCTACATTCGGTTACGGTAATCAGTACGTCTCTCGGTTGGGCATACAACAAAGTTATAACGTTTACATATTAATTTATTTTCTTCGTTGCTTTTTATAACATTGCACGTTCTAAAAGAAAGTCAGATAAACTTAATTTTGTCTCATTAATAAAATCATAGAAATCATAGAAATTAATAAAACTGAATAATAAAAAATGCAATTATAACTATATATTAAGCAACTTTGTTATCAAATATTACGTAAAATTTTACAAACTAGTATATAGATTGTTATATTTACTAACGGTAATAAAATATACTGAAGAAACTCACTTCTATATTTGTTAGTGCTTAATGTTTATTAAATATTTAAATTAAATTATTTGCATAATAAAACATATGATATATGATAAAACACTTTACGAAATAAAATATATGTTATAGAATGTTTTGATAGAATAATATATATTGTACTCACAATATTCATAAAATAAAATTTCCCAGTATAATAGTTAGTCATTTATATGACACCAAAAGATAAAAAAAATGAATCTTTAGCCTCATGATGAGCAGCTGTACGTCCTTCTATAGTTCGCTCTGGTCTCTTGCATGCGCCTAATCCTCCTTGATTAAATCAGCATCTTTCTTTTCTATTATCGTCGTAGGCGATATCGGGGTTATGCTAGTGATCACTTTCTCAATATATATTAGAGAAAGTGTCGCAAGCTTCAAATGAAATTCTAAAATGTTGACTTTTCGTGTTGAGTTTCTCAAATTCCAGGATTAACGGAACCGTTCAACGTGCTTCATCTAGAAACACAGGGACGACTGAGATAACTTGTAAAGTTCCTTCTCTGATAGCTATGCAGATTCTTGAATTATAAATAGTAAAAGTCTGCATATCTTATAAGTGTTCGTCTCCGCCTATTGATCAAAGTTCAGTGTATGTACGCATATGATTAGATACGTGTATAGTGTTTATTTTTGTATATTTTAATTCACTATTCGCTGCGGACCATCTTGTTAAAAACTCTAGCCACTGATAGTCCACACTGCTGTGGTAAAATTCTAAACTAGCTTCTCATTTAGAATATTCTTTTGATACGGCCAGTTACAGGACGATTGTAACAGTTTCTTTTTTTTTTACATTTAAAGTAATCTTATTATTACGTATTATTACAATATAATTGTTTATAGTTATAACGTTTACACATGAACTTATTTATACAAATTTTACTTTAAGTTCGCCTTTATTCCTTTTTGTAAAAACCAGATATACTCAGTTTTGTCATTAATAAAATCGTAGAAATCATCAATAAAGCTAGATGGTTAAAAACACTATTGTAATTATTTATTAGGGGAATGTCATAGAACATTACATAATAGTTTACAAACTGTATTTGATATTTATTAGCGGTAAGAATGATAGCCAAAAAAAATGGAGATGTTTTTATATTTGCCTAATTATTATACATGGCGCTTGAATAAAAAGTTGGTAAAACATCAATTAATATATATTAGTAAATATATTGATATTATTATTTATCACAAACTCATGTGCGGGAAGGAATATATCATTTCTGTTAAAATATTGCATAATGCATTAGCATAATGAGACAGAAATTTTAATTCAAATGCATGATAAAAAACAGTGTATTATATGCTATTAGCATAATGAAACAAAAGTTTTAATTCAGATGCATGATAAAAAATAATGTATTAAATTCTATTACATACCAGATTCCCTTGATTCCCTAAGATTTAGTTACTCGACACGCTTATTAATTCGTCATTTATAACACGAGAAGGTAAAAAAATGTTAGACTTCAAATTTACGATAAACACATACGATAATAACATAGCTATAATCCCCCCTACAGCTCAACCTTACTATTCACATTCGTCCAATCCTCCTTGATTAAATCCGCGCCTTTCTCCGCTATCATTATCGTAGGCGCGTTTGTGTGTCCGCTAATGATCGTTGGCATAACGGACGCATCGATGACTCTGAGTTTTTGTACATCGTGAACTCTTAATCGAACGTCCACCACGGCTGTAGGGTCGTTCCGAAGACCCATCTTGGTCGTACCAACGGGATGAAAAAGCGTGAAGGACATATGTCGCAAGTTGCATCTCCAATATTCGTCAGAATCGGCTTCGGTGTGTCGGCAGCCCGGTATGTCGATATGATGCAGCCATACTCCTTGTCGTTCGAAGGCTTCTGTTTTCAGCAGACTTTTGATGAATTCCAAGCTTTTCAGCATTGTTTCAATATCTTTCTCCTCGGAGAAGTAATTTGCGTAGATTTTTGGGGGAACCGCGGGATCCTTGCTACGCAGTTGCAACTTACCCGAGCTCTTTGGTTTCAATAGTATCGACATAATTTGTATTATGTCGGCTTCATTGAGCACTTTTATTACATCACGCGTTGTCTCGTCATCTATAAAGAACAGTTCCGATATCGTGTGTACCATATACAAATTCCTCCGGAAAAAGTGCATATGAAGGAATTCGATGTCAGGATACTTGGAATTCAAGTCGTTCACATTGATGAAACCCACGAGGTCGAAGGGAAAAGTTGCCAAACTACCTCGTTTATGCATCAGATATTGATACGCCTCGTCCAGGATAAATGTGGGCGGCGGCGGGGGTGTTGCCGTCTCGTTCTTGTAAGCCAAGTATAAGCCAGGCCAACTTATATGGTCCTGAAGATTTTGGCCGACCGGTAAATCGACGACACTCGGCACTCCCATTTCGAGCAGATGCTGCTTAGGCCCGATACCGGAGAGCATTAGTAGTTGTGGACTGGCGATACTGCCGGCAGAGAGAATCACCTCCTTCGATACTTTCACGTCGATCGACCTGCCGTCTTTCAGAGTCGCGCGTACTCCGATCGCCCGAGTACCATTCAGAAGAACTGCGTCGGCTCGGGTAGATTTCATCACGTAGAGATTTCTTCTGTCTTTGATCGGCGATAGGTAGGCATTTGCTGTGCTTATCCTACGACCCTCATTCAAAGTTCCTAGAAGTTTGCCGTAACCGATATATTCGTCGCCGTTAACGGTTTTTAGAGTGGGTATATTCATTTCGCGAGAGGCGCTCGTGAACATTTTGTGCATTTCTATGTCGGTATAATTGAAATCTCTGATATGCAACGGCCCACTGTGGCCGCAGTACTTCCTTCTCCACTCGTGGTTGTCGCTATGACCGTAGTGTTGCGATTTTTTGAAATATGGCAGAACCTCCTCGTAGCTCCAGCCTTTGTTACCCATCCGGGACCATTCGTTGTAGTCTTCCTCGTTGCCGAGAAGGTAGATCATAGCGTTTATCGTAGAGCTACCGCCCAAAGCCTTGCCTTTGGGCCATTTGCACATCTTGCTTTTGCTACTGTGGCAAGCGAGTTTTTCGGGTTCTGTATCGTAGGAATAATCCTCCGGCGACGACATCAATTTCGGAAACATTAGGGGAATATCACTGGTAGGCGAAGGATCGTCTCCGGCCTCGATCAGTAACACCTTCCAGTTTTCCACCTCGGTTAAACGATTGGCTATTACGGATCCGGCACTTCCGGCGCCTACGATGACAAAGTCGAACTCGATGTTGTTTTTCACGATTTCTTCCGAGCGATCCGGTGGATAGTTCCTCTTGTTGCTCAAACCGCACTGTGCGGTTAGAAGCATTTGTATTAGTTGCAGGAAGACAGACGTGGAAGCGCCTGTCGTTGCAGCAGCACAGCTTGCACTCAGACATGCCTCCATAATATCGTCCCGTAATGTAACAATTTAATTCTGTTGAATATATTATATTTGTAGTAACTGTGTGCGTATTACTTCATACAGGGTGTCCTGGAATAACCGTACGCGGAGTGCACTGGGAAATTCTTAATACCAAACGACTCATTTCTTTATTTTCCGAAATTCTATTCTGTTTAAATGACAGTTTTTAAAAGACAGCTATTTAAAATTGTCGAATTAGTGTATTGAATTGCGCCCGTGTCAGAAACGGCGCACCACGTGCTTCATAGAATCACGAAATATTACGTAAATCATGTAGGCTGTTTAATGGCTCTTTACGGCTTAGTTTACTCGAGTTACTTGGTACGCATATTAACTTACTAATAACTTACTATCAAATTATCAAAAAAATTGGCGTAAACTAAGTCAATCTTCCCAAAGATTTTCTTACGCTGACACCTGACGCTTACATTTGAAATTACGCACAATATATGAATTTACCGCTAATTTTAATAAAGCTTGCTTATAATTTATTTATATATATGAATAATTAGTATAAATAATATTCCATTAACCACATTGTTCTAAAGCGTTGATATATAACACTTTGTATAAAAAATTATTTGTACTGTTTAAGTATATTATTTTATTTGCAATCGTTGCTTCAGTGGCATTGATAAGAGATTCTTCCATATCAGAAAACAATAGAAATAATTTTTATACGAGGTGTTGTTCCAATGCTTTAAAAATACAAATATTTTAACTTTGAAGAAGGATATTATTTATACATTAATTTATAATTTATAATTTATACATTAAATTATTTATACAAATAAGTTCTATTTAAGATAGCGGTAAATATAGAAAAAATTATTATACATAATTTTGTAATGAAATTTTAAATAAGATAGAAAAACGTGTTTCTTCTAAAAACAATTTACGTAATATATCGTAGTTCCGCAGAACGCGCTTCCTTCTTAATTCATGTGCAACTTGGTATGCTAATATAATAATTTTGAATATCTTTCATTTAAACTTTATTATTTAAACAGATTTTAAATAAACGAAAAGTTGCATCATTTGGTTCTAAGAATCCCTTTGCGGTTATTCTAGGATGTCCTGTATATTGGCAAACGGACGGTATATTGGATTATTTGACAGTTCACTTCATATTTATAATTGGAGATTTGAATATAAAAAGAGGAAAAATAATAATATAATAAGAAAAAAATATGTTAATTTACAACTAGTCTTGTGGTTCAATCGTGTGATTTTGTCAAATGTTGTTAAATGTTATCAAATTATGTGAGGATAACTGCACTTGTCTTCGAGCTGTATTTCTCCTCTGGAATGGCTTATACTTATATATTACATTTGTGACAGTTGTTATAATATGAATTCGATAACTATTTCTTATGTATTTTTCTGTTCTTTGCTCTACTGTTTACATTTTAAGTTTGATACGCTATGATAATGACTTTTTCGTTGAAATAAGTCTGTTTGTCAGCGAAATCGTAAGCAGAAATATGAAAATTGCAAACGAACATTAAGAAAGATATGAGCCATTTATTTTGAAAGTGGCCTATCCACTTATCCATTTATCAATTGTTTTTTGTTGACTGTAGTAACGTATACAACTTGAAGTTAGCTGTCATAAACAACATTTTGCGGTTAAGTATATTCAGAGTTATAACCATAGAGATATAAGAATAAAGGGAANATGGTCGCTTGGTGGCTCATTGTAACAACCAATCACAGCGCTCAACTAGAAAGAGACAGATAGGACACTCGGCATCCATCTCTCTCTTTGCCTCTATCACTTCCACTTACAGGTAGCATATATCCCTTGTTCCCTTTATTCTTATATCTCTATGGTTATAACTCTGAATATACTTAACCGCAAAATGTTGTTTATGACAGCTAACTTCAAGTTGTATACGTTACTANAACATTATTATAACAAGATTTTTGGAGGACGTAGTTTTTAAAAGGGTAAAGAATTCTAACGGAGAAACAATAAATTGGTTAAAAATATGCTGGATGCGTTTTTTGAGAAATGAACCATATACAATTTTCTATAAGATATCAATGAATGAGAATGCAGAGTTTAAAATCCTGGAGTTATTACCACGTCGGGATAGACCAAGAAGATTCGAAAATATTGTATTGACACTACTTTATAAAAATATAAGACGAATTGCAACAGCGAAATACAAGGATATGATGGACTTACTACGATCTATACCACCGGAGCACCATGACTTCTTCAAATCCCTCTCGCATATACAAAATGTAGATGAGCAGTAAATTGTTACGTAATTTATATAGTTAGGAGATTTCCTGAATTGCATAAATTGTGTTTTTGAAGTGTTGTAAAGAAATATAAAATAAATTGAGTATTGTTTTTTCAATTTGAAGCATTTTAAATTATGTCGAATCGACTTGGGCTCTTTCAAATTTTATAACAAATCTAGTTGTTAATTTTGAAAATGGCTTAACTCCATTTATGGTAAGAAAACACATATTATTCACTTAATAATTACTATTATTTTAATAAGGATTGTAAATTTAACTCTCTTAGATACACTTAAGTAGCATGACACATTGGTATCCTATACGTATATTTTTAATTTTATTGAAACGTAAACTCTTAAATATCTCAATTTAAATATAAATAGGCTTAGGTCACTTTCAAAATAAACAGCTCATATAGAAAATTGGCTACATTTTCGACACGAAAAAAAGTATGGTGGGTTAGATACACGCAGTTAATTACATATCCTCTATAAAATATTACATCTTAATGATTGTATATTTTTTATTTCAGTTTTCTGTCATTTTCTATTTCAATTTTCTATCTTTAATTTTCTTCCTTCCACGATCACTAAAGATTAATTTTGTTTTTTATATATTATATTGTTTGATAACGTAATTTTCTTTAAATTTTTTACGATTGTCGAGCGATACGCTTATACGAGTGTCTTATTTCGTCGATTAAAAACTTTCAAACAATGACTATAATTGTTTAAGTTTTATTGATAAATACACTTGGAAGGAAAGGAGCTAGTAGTGATCGTAAAAGACAACTCTTCAAAACTCTAATTTAAAAATACTAGCAAATAAATTTCTAATTTCACTATCACGACCAAGCCATGTATGATGCTGATTGTTCCAAATTTTAATAAATATTTTTCTGAATGCAACACACATCTGACCACAACTTAGTTACGTTTGTGAACTAATCCACAATTCTAAATGTAAAGAAATGTACCGAGAAATAAACCTCTTGGTTGTTACTAGAAATCTATGACTGATTTCATTCAGCAGCCGAGCACGGAATGACTGTGTTGTCCAGTTTCTCCTGAGTTATATAACGACGGCAGTTTAATATATGGATATTTGCTATTTTTCTGACAAGGTAGCGCTTGGTGGCTTCTTGGCGCAGCTTTTCAGTACCTACATTCTGCTTAAAGCAAACAATGAATAAAGAAGAAAGGTTAGTTGTCAAGAGTTTAACCTCTATAATTAATATAATAAAAATATTTCAGATAAGAATATTTTTTCCATAATTCGTAGATTATAATTTGGCATTGAAACTTGGCATTGAAAACATGTTTTATTTAGTCGTAATATACTAGAATTATAAGGGTGTCTCAAAATTTGTTGTTGTGAATTAGCATACAAGGTTACGCGCAAGTCAGAACCAGAATCACGAAGCGAATAATTTTCTTCTTTCAGTTTTTATCAAGTAAGAGGATTAGAATATTTAAGTTTAATAACTTAATTTTTTTCATAAAACTTTCATAATTTAGGTATTTACGTAAATGTATATATCATTAATAATAAAATGTTTATTATATGCAATGAGATTGAAGAAAAGCAATCTACATTACTTGTGATATTTTATGATTCCGCTACTGACTTGCGCGCTATGTACACTAATTCGTCAACTTTGATTAGCTCTTATTTAAAAACTGAATCATTTAAACGAAATTTTGGTAAACAAAAGTTGTTTTAGTTGATATACTAAGAATCTCTCTCATATATTCCGCATATGGTTATTCTGTATACATTTTGTGTAACAAAGATATTATAACTTATCATAATATTCTTAGTTACGGTCGCTAAATGAATTTACTTTGTACAATATTCGGCTGGAGAGAAAATAATGTGTGAAAAGATAAACGTCGAAGCTAACCATAGCCAATAAATTACAGTTGATATTCTCGCTTATTTCTTATATAACGGAATCTTTTTGAACAGACATATTTTATACAATACATCTGACGTAATATATCCTATGTGAAGTAACTCGTATAATACTTGTTTCTATTTAAGAGCGAATTATACAACATTTACGTCACGACTAGCCTACCTTGAGCGAAGTGCTCGATCGAATGAAGTCTTAACCAGTGTGATCTAATATCCAACTTTATTTGTATTAGTGTACATTCTCCATACATGAACGTATACTTTTTAAGCACGTATGTGCATGTGTGCTCTTCGGAGCGAAAGAGTTCATCTTTTTACTACAGCAGGTTTTAATATATACCACACGGCATACGGCAGAAAGTCAATTGCAACCTACACTGTTTTTGTATCAATTTACATATAAGTATATTGAAATAATTAAAACACTGAATTACACTACATTAAATCAATATAGCTGACTAATATAAACCAAGTATAGTTAAATATCAAGCTTGATTAAATAATATTTTCGTGTGAACAGACCGAACTACATTTAGCGCCTATACGCGCCAACAGCAGCCAAAGAGTTAAGAGTTCGAAATTTTTGCAACTCATCTGTACTGTCAACAAGCAACGCTCTTACTCGTCATATGACTGACAAGCCATCTATTATGAGTACTTACATTTGAAGGAACCCGGATGCAATATAATATTCCTTTCTATTTCACTCATTGCTCCTTCTTTTTTTATTTTTCAGATATAATGTTTCGATGCTTATATTAATTGATAATCGACTATCAATTGAATCGGTTGTTTCGTTTACTGAGATAACTTTAGAATGCGATTATTTTTACTTTAGATATATCAATATTTTTATTAAGTATATAATTCTCGAGTTACATGCAGGGGGAAGATTTTATTTTTATATTATAACATACAGGAAAAACGAGCACAGTAAGCTTAAATCAGAAGTTACATAAATAAAACGAGTTAAGTAAATTAGATGCGCGTTGAATTTTATTGACTTGTATTTATGAGAAAGAAAGAAAGAGCGACGGATGAAAAGTAAATTTGCTAAGATGAATAGAACAAGTTTTTGGATTAAAAATCTCGAGTTACGGCGGTGATAAATATTCAAATAACATATTTACAAATATTTGGTATTTGTCCGCGATCTATAGATGTTATCGCCGGTATATCTGCCGCGATTATTATCTATTTCAATTCATCTATTTAATTCACCTGAATTTCATCGCAGAAGTTTATGACCAGTTTCGACGAAGTGACCAAAACATTCATGAAATAATTTAAAGAAATCTCTTTTATTTGTCAACCGTAAATAATATATATTACAACTTGATATACCAGAATTCGTGAACATTCAAGATTGCATCGGCCAATTGTTGTCAATCATATCAGCCGCCTTCTCACCCACCATCATGATAGCAGCGATCGGATTCGAGTTTGGCACGGTGGGGAAGATAGAAGCGTCGGCGACGCGAATGTTCGGTATACCGTGTACTCGAAGTTCCGAGTCCACCACCGCGGTTGGGTCGGTACTCGATCCCATCTTGCACGTTCCAGATTGATGGTTTTCCGGTCCGGTCTGTGCCCGCATTTGGCACATCCAGAAGGCGTCGGTGCCGAAGTGATAGCTGATAAATGAGAAATGCGAAATTAAAAATCTCGCAAGTGAGCAAAATTGATCCAAAGCTAAAGAGAAATCGAACAATTCGAAGCTAATCTATTGATCAAGAACTCCGCGAGCACACACACGTCGCGTATTTCAACTCTTTCCAACTGTAAACACTGCATAAGCATATATCTAGCAAACATTGCGACGATCACAATGAAAGCAATTCGAGTCTCCAACTAATAACATCAAATCCAAACGTTTCGTTACTCACTCGTTACACAACGGACTTCCCACTTGTTCCAAACGGAGGTCCCACTTTCTCATAGCGGACGTGTCGACAAGCTTCGTGACTTTCTTGATACCTTCGAGCAGGACGAACAGATCCTTCTCGTTCGTAAAGTAATTCGGATAGATGAGCGGCGGGTCCATGGGGTTGGACGAGCGGAGTTTCAAGTCACCTCGACTCTCTGCGCAGAGCACTGTGGGCCTCACCCCGATGCTCCTCCTAGTAGGGCAATCGGTGGTTTTGCCGTTGGGACACTCGTTGCGCAGGCCGGTGTGAGGACAGGTGGAGCTGAAGCCGTCGAAGAAGACCTGAATGTCCGGCATGCCGTTAATCGCATAGCTGCTCTCGAGGAAAGCGGTGACCTGCGTGATGCCGCTACTGGCCAACGGGCCTGTCTTTTTCTCTAGATACTCGTTCACCGCGTCCATCGTTACGGCCTCGTACGGGATGTCCCTGATGCTCATGGGGACCGCCACCGACACATGATTGTGCAGATTCTTGCCGACCGGCAGATCCTGGTACACCCTGATGCCGAGCTTGGTGAGCTCTTTCTCGGGGCCCACGCCGGAATTCATGAGGATGTGCGGCGAGCCGATGGACCCGGCCGACAAAATCACCTCCTTACCGCATTTGATCATCCTCTTGCGACCGTTCTTGTCCACCAGCTCAACGCCGTAGGCCCTCTTTTCCCAATCGCTGATCAGGATCCTGGTTACCTGAGCATTCATCAGCACCCGCAAGTTCCTGCGTTTGTGAACGGGCCTGAGATATGCCCTCGAGGTTGTACTGCGCATACTGTTCTCGACCGTCATCGGCGCGATCATGAAGCCGGTCTGCCTGTATTCCTTCAGTTGCGAGATCGTGTAGCCGAGCTCGCTGGCGGCGTTCAGCAACACGTCCACGAACTCCGGCTTGTGCGGATAATACTGAATGCGCATCGGGCCGGGTTCCTTCAAGGTTCTCGACTTATCCGACACTATCGTTTGGTCGGCCGGATTCTCCATCCGCTCGAAGTAGGGAATGACTTTGTCGTAGGACCAGCCAGGATTGCCCGCGCTCTCCCAATTGTTGTAGATGCGAGGATGACCCCGAGCATACATCATCCCGTGAAAACCGCCGGTTCCAGCAATCATCTTGCCCCTCGGCCAAGTGCACACGCCTCCCGTCTCTGGAAGGAGGGTCGCGACATTCATTTATCAATACGTCATCTGCGAGGCAAAAATATTGTCGTAAGCAAAAATGATTTTGGCAAATTAATCGCGATGGTGATACATTACAATTCATTTTTATAATTAATGATCTTTTCATATATATATGCGTGACTTTTTTACTCAGTTTCATTCGTTCTATCTATTCACTACAGAAACGGTTTGAAACATCCTGTATATATATATAACAGAATTTTCTCGAACAGGCATATTTTATATAATACATCTGATGTAATGTATTCTATGTGATGTAGCTCGTATGATACTTGTTTTCATCTAAGAGCGAATTATACTATGTCATGACTACGTCACGTTTACGTAACGATTAGTCTACCTTGTGCGAAATGCTCAATCGAGCGAAATCTTAATCGTTATTACCGAATATCCAACTTTATTTGTTTAGTATATATTCTTCGTACGTGAATGTTTACTTTTTAAGCACGTATGTGCGTGTGCATATATGCGTGTGTGTGTTCTCTTCGGAGCGAAAGAGTAAATCATTTTGCTACTGCAGATTTTAATATATACCGCACGTGGCATACGACAGAAGGTCAATTGCAACCTATATTGAGAACGGCAAAATTTTGCATCAATTTACATACTTACATATATTGAGAAACTCTATAACGATTTTAAATCGCGATAATACACACACATACGAGTTAAAATTACGATGCGTACGACAGTGCCTACGAGATCGATCAATACAAAGCGATATCCTATACCCAAACAAGCGGTAGGATGCGGTGATGTTGGTTCCGTCTTGAAATTCCAGTCGAGAGATGTATTGACAGCGTTGAACGTGAACCCTGGTACAGCTGTCATCGTGGGTTCTTCCGGGCCGGCCTCGATAAGTAGAACCTTTCGCCAGGGGTTATCGCTCAATCTCCTCGCTACTATTGATCCCGCCGTACCGGCACCCACGACTACGAAGTCGTACCTAGACGTAAACGGTAACAGAGGTGATTCTTATTAACCCGGAGAGAAAAATACGGCAACTCTACAGAGTGATTTCTCGGGTTCTCGGCGTTTCTCGACTAAAATGCGATCACACCAGAGAATTATGTCGTCTGACAGATATATATATTTTTTTTATCATCCTTAGACAATTTTCAATAACGCGGAAGAAGACCAACGTGAAATACGATGGGTCCCTTACCACTCGTTTTCGCTTGGTGCTTCGTCTCTGCCCATTCGCCGACAGGGATCGGCGATGTCGCATCTGGAAGATATGACATTTTGAATCAGCGTCATGAAAGGAGTTGTTCCCCCGCAAACACGTTCCATATATCGTGTGTCTTCAAACTGGCAGGAGCAACATCCGGTGTCCGCGCTGACTTCTTGAGGTGGCTAAAATAAGGACGGCTATAAATAAATCCGAACTAAGACTTCGTTAATTTTAATTACGGGAAAACTAGTTCGATTGACACACTTCGGGAGGAGAATTTCGAGGCTCTTTATTGAAGCCGATGTGAACTTTCCCTAGTCCCGAATTTCCAATGTTGCAAGATAATGTTACGTATTTACCTGAGCTTTGAGTGAATTTGCAATAGCGTGTTGCGCCAAGGCTAACAGAAGGACGTACCGATACATGTCTGCAATTTAGAGGCTAATATCATCTGTGAATAAAAAAAAGGACACGAAAGTCACATTTTTGATAAGAAAAAAAGTGGTTGCATCGATTGAAAAGTACGATAAGAGAATTGTAAATAATGAACGACAAACTGTATCGTGAAATTATGATTTGCCGGTGATATCATTTCACGATGAGTGAACACAGTTCCACTACATAATTTACACATGGCCGTATACAGTTATTTTCTCTCTTTTACGTGGGTGCTGAATATTAATCAGCATTCGATCATTATTGTAGACAACCTTAATAAAGTACTGAGACTTCATGTCTTGTTCGTGATAAATGGGTACATAATCGCTTGAAAATGATTGTGACAGTAATGTTGATGTTTCGTCACATGTCAGTTAATCACTCGGGCGAAAGGAACGAAACGTCAAATTGTCACTTATGAGAGTACCATTAAAAATAAGGACATACACTTACATGGTAATGAGTGCGTTTTGCAATAAAATTAACGTTCCCGTACTTATATTGTTAACCCCGTAGCATCGTTTCGGATTTTACCTTGCCATGTGACACACAAAATCTCAGGGATAATTTGTTAAACTTCACGTAATTAATACTCATCGATTCTGTTTGATTTATTTGCCCATTTTCTCTCTCTCTCTCTCTCTCTCTCTCTCTCTCTCTCTCTCTCTCTCTCTCTCTTCGTAAAGAGTACCGTTAAACACGATATATTAAATGTGACACGTGTAAAAAATAATATAGATATTTTGACACTACTTATTTACTGAAGAGTGCTTTGGACCGCCCGATGATCTGAAAGAGTGCACTGAGTTTGGTTCCGAGCCTTCCGCGTGAAAGTGCGTTATTGCTTGTCCGTGATAAATTTTTCGCAGCGATCGAAGAGCACGAAGTGTCCGATACGGCACGGCGAATGTATCACACGCGCGCGAAAGGCCCGGCAGAAATTTCTCCGTCCGGAGCAAGTGAAATTTCGTTAAAGTATTCATTGGCAGGTGTAGGTTTCGTATAAAAAAGATGATGTTACTTTCCGCGTCGACTCGGAGTATTACGATCATTTCGGGAAAGAGCCTGAGTTCCTCTATGATGGTGTGCTTTTGGAAACGTGCAGTGGTGTCGCTTTCGTTCGACGATAAGACTCACAACGAACTTTGAGAGATACCGGAAAAGAATTTCACCGCCGGCAATCATCGCTCGCGCGTGTAAAGGGCTCGCAATATATTTCACATGGTTGATCCTGTACAGATGATTTTTCTGACATCGAGGCAAGGTATTGCCCTCGAGAAAAAAACGTTACTATAATATCCCATATTTTTATCGTTTTCATAAAAATTACCTGAAATCCGGACAAAAGTACGAGGTTAAATCTAATAATGCCTCATAATTTCCCGGTGGCCGACGGATCGAGAACATCTGTACGATGGTGTAGAACGCACGGGCGCTGATTAATTCGTCTGATCGACTTCGAGACCACAGATTACTTTTGAAACGGTCGCTCGAGATTGCCCGGGGTAAGCGATCGGTTGATCTTCATCGGACTGTTCGGCAAGGGGCAACGTGCTGGATAACCACGGCCACGCACACTAAATGCACTAATCGAGAAGCTCATCGCGTGTGGTCAGGAACGCATTCGTCGGCAGAGAAGACACACGTGGTGTGACGTCACTGCTCCGCTCCGAGCAGGATTCACACTGCATGGGTTAACGTCGAGGAAAACGTTTGCCACGAAGTGACCAACTTTTAGGGAAACGAAGGAGGAACCGTGCGTTCTCTAACTGTTACACACGACGATTTGCACAATGCTTGCCCGGTGAAAAAGGAAAAAAAAAGGAAAAGAAAAGTGGGGAAGGAATGACAAGTTGCGTAACGCATCGGAGAATACAGCCGCGAATTATCGGAGGAGAGTTCAAGATTTTTCTCCACGCAACTCGCTATTGCGGTCAATAACGTAACTCATTGGATTACAGGCTGTAACGCTAAATCGAGGAAATCCGAGCAACCGTTCGCGGGGTGCAACAAAGAAACCACTAGCTCGTTTATTACGTAAACGGGGGGTTATGGCCGCGAGCCGTAATTTGCAACGCATCGTACGAGAAATGTTCGGAGAGATATTGAGTTTTTTCCGAACCGATATCACCATTTGCTGAATTGAAGAACTGAGTTATGCAAATATAATGTGCAATCGTGCAATTTTTACAGGTATGTGTATACTTGTGAGAAAAGAGAGAGAAAAACTCGCTTAAGGAGGCTATAAGGTGAGAAATGTTTGATGAGAATTCAATGAAACTTGCACTACGTATACGTTGAAATATTATCTGACTGCTCGTGCAATTAGAAAAAGATTGACCTTTCGAGAACTGAGATATTTACAATTAAAATTTACACTTTTTATACTTCTGTTGTCAGAACTAGAGATTAGAATGCTATTTTTAATAATGAAAAAAATGTGTGTAATCATAGCATTAACGAGCAAATAAGAGTCAATCGACAATGTACAAGCAATTAACTTAAGTATTAGAATTAATTTAATAATACATCAATCAGAAATTAATAAGAATTGTGCAAGAACGACAGTTAGAAGTAGGCAAATCAAACATCTCAGATCTATTTATCTATCTATTTTTATGTATCTGTTTCAGACATGTTTATTTTTAATGTTTCTTAAACTAAAAATAAAATTTGGATCAATTCTATGATATTAAAGACTAATATTCAGACATTATTTATAAATTTCGGAATTTTATCGACCATTTTCTTTTGAAAATGTGCCGGTGTTAAGTTCATAATTTATAGTAATACTTGAGATACAGGTGTACATATGCACATATTTAAACACTTATATATCATTTGCTATTATTTGTGCATCTTCATTAGATCAACCAATGTATAAATATAGCATTAATAAGAAATATAAAAAAAAAGATAATATTTTCCTTTTTATGTTTCTCTTTTAATATTTTACATATTGTACATATATTGACCTGAACTTCGCTTCAAATTAATTTATTATTTGTAAGTAGTGAAATAAATGCATAGAAATATAATTTTACTTGATAAATCTTAAATTTATGGCCCCTTTAATGCGCTGCTAAAAATACGACATTGAGCCTCACAACCTTAAAAACATGGGATATAATTTCGCGATTGCTATGTGTACGTTTCTACTCGAGTATCTCGTATCACCCAACATCAACATCTTAATTGTAAACATTTTAATTCGATGATTCTAAAACTGATTCGGTAACGCAATGAATTGAACAATTCGCAAAGTGGTTAAGCCAGGTGAGATACGGAAAGTATTTTTGTTTTATATTACCGCACGTTATTTCGCGTATGTTTTTAAACGTCTTACCGAACGTGACAATATCTCCGGCCGATGTCGGAAAGACTTACTGCCTTCAGATTATTGTCGTCGGTGATGTGCGTACAATTTATACTGGTTCATGGTACAAAATGAAACCTGCAGCATTTATATTTCGAATATACGAAGATCCCTGCGGTCCTGCACACGGTGGAAGAAGACGACTTACCTTGAAGATGTACGCACTTGTGCACACGGATTAAACGTCATTATGTTATGACCTGAGAACAAACAGATGGATCAAAAGTAACTCAGTCACGCCCACAAACGCGCCGTTTGTCATTGACACACCACGATCCATCGTACACCAATATCGTCAACGCGGTCGACAGCTAGCCGGAGATAGACAATGGCCACCATTATTCAGGATACTTCGGGCATATTGGAATATTAGAGCACATTTGAATGCTAGAGCATTTTAAACTTTTTAGATGTGTGCGTTTATGTTTGTCGAAATTCACGCAGGCGGAGCCACATTTTTGCCGTTTTACGCTCATTTACATTTTACATTATCACTTCTTGATTTACTGCCGTTCCTTGATTTGTGGTACATACTCGCTCCGTTTGCGTCATTATCATTTATCATCGACGATGCGTTGACCCAATTCTCAAGCCGACGGAAAGATTGATAATATGAATGAAATAATACTACAAAAATGATCATAAATTGCCCGATAAGTAGGCAAAAATGTGGAATCAAGAATCAAAAAATCAAGAATAGCGACTGAGCTGTCGTGGATTTCTGAAACGAAAGATAAAAATATAATAAAAAATATGATTTAAACTTACAATCCCTGCTCGTCTTCTGTTTTATATTTTATGACATACTGTTGATTCTCGATAGCGGCGACCTCGTCTTATAAGCATAACTTTAAGACCTCATGGCCGGAGTATTAATTATTCAATGAAAGTTTCAGTAATTTTTAGCAAAACTATTATGGTATCTATTAAAAAAATATCTATTTCAGTTGATTTGGAAATTGCAAACTTATTCGAGCGATCGTTAATCGATGTACGCGCATGCGGCTATTCATTATACGTGCAGCGACGCGAGATAATTATTATAAATATTTGGATTGGTTGGTCACGGTAACGTATACCGTCGAAGATTAATAACTTGCTGTGGCGTCAGTTTCTTACGTCTGACTAGCTGACCCTCCCCCCCCCCTGTCCCCCACTCAACGCAAAATGAACAGTAAAGATATATAATTATGCGCTATTTATGCGCTCTTTGAAAATAAAACGAAAAAATTTCGCGCTCCTTTTGTTACGACAGAAAACGAATTGAAACATAAGAAGGCTAGGTGGGTAGCCAACTCGCCTACCCACTTATAAATAATTAATTATTCAGTAAAACGAATATGAAAGAATTATGCGCTAATTATACGCTCTTATTTTTAGGTAATTTCAATTTTTGCGCTGCAGTCCTTAAGGGACTTCTATCTTGATGCCAAACATATAATTGTCTTAAAATTCCCTTAAAATGAAAAAAATCGATAAAGCAATTATATACGATAAATCTACGATTTATACGCTCTTATATATAAGCAATTTTTATGTTTGTGCTACAGCCCTTAAAGAACTTTGCTCTTGATGCCAAAAACATAATTGCCATAAATTTCCCTTAAGATGAAAGAAATTGATAAAGAGCAATTATATACGGTAAATCTATGATTTTATGTGCTCTTATATCCAAACAATTTTTATTTTTGCGCTGCAGCCCTTTCTTGCGCTGCAGCCCTAATGGACTTCTGTCTTATAATCAAAAACATAATTGTAACCAAAAGAGTGCAAAATTTTTTCGTTTTGTTTTTGAAAAGCGCATAATTATATATTTTTTAAATAACGCATAATTATATATTTTCACAATTGCATTTTGCATGAAGTGAGGGGGCCGGCTGTTTGGACGTCAGCTTCTTAACAAAAATCTTCGAAGCAGTCCGATAAATCACGAACCTAGCTGCATAAATTACAAAAAAAAACTATTCTAATATACACATTTATTTCAGAATTAATATTACAACGAACACACATTACAAAATTAGCTTACGAACCTCCGAACAAATCCTTTGATTTTCGGATTCTTTAATTTTCATAGGGAAGCGTCATATTGGCTGTGTCGATCTGACAAAATTAAAAATACAGTTTATATGTTCGCTATTTATAAGTTACGACATCGTAAACAATCTTCATAAATTGAGATTAAATAATAAGATATACGATTAATTAATACGAATAATAAGATATAAGATATACGATTTATCGTCCCTGAAGTTTTTCGAGTTAAACCGGCCAATCTTCTTTTATCATATCGGCAGCCTTCTCCGCGATCATGATCACCGGCGCGTTCGTATTACCGGAGACAATGTACGGCATTATCGAGCCGTCGACCACTCGCAATCTCGCGATACCGTACACTCTTAATCTTGCATCGACCACGGCCTGACTGTCATTGACAGGGCCCATTTTGCAAGTACCCACGGGATGATATATCGTCCCTGTCAAGTGACGCACATAGCAAGCCAAATACTCGTCCGACGAGCTGTCGTGCTGCGAACACCCTGATATTAGATTCGGATTAGGTCGCGTGTTTAACTTCTGCATGACGTGCGTGCGACTCATCTTATCCGCGAATTTCATACCCTCTATCTGAAAGGTCGGTGTAATTGATGAAATCTATAAGTTTTCTGTGTGAATTACGCATGTGTGTATAAACGAAAGCACGTATAATGCAGCGTACCATAACTCGTAGATCGTGAGGATCGATGAAGTAATTAGGATAGATCTCGGGATTCCCAGTGGGATCAGTCGTATTGAGTTTAACGAGGCCCCTGCTACGTGGCCGAAGAAGAATCGAATGTATCTCGACAGTTTGATGCTTCAGAATATTTTTGTAAAAGTCATTCATGATGTCTGGGTTGGTATCTTCGGGACGTGACGAGATAATTCCAGATTTGTACGCATGCGAGGAGCTCGAGAAGAGCAGCTGAATGTCCGGATAGTCGAACGTCTTGTCCGCGTACCTGTGACGTAATTTGACTCAATTAATAACTGCCATCCAATTAATATCTTATCGTTAAACGTTATTTGCTTTAATTATTGATTTAATTGAACTTCCATTTGTTCACAGTAGCGCGAACCGTCTAGATTTTCAAAAGTGCCGCTCACTTAGTGTTAATGAACGCCATTCCTGTGCCTATAGTTGTCGTGTGAAGCGGACTGGGATTGTCATGTATCATATCCTCTAGAGCTTCCAGCGTGACGGATTCGAATAGTCGCACGGTGAATTTCTTGGGTTCCGGGATATCAGGCGGAAGATCGATCGTGTAAATCACTTCCGACGCCACGTGATCTTGAAGATTCTGCCCTACTCCGGGCGCATGATGCACGACGGGTATTTTCATCTCCTCGAGGTAATCTCTCGGTCCGATACCCGACAGCATTAGCAATTTCGGCGATTGTATCGCGCCCGCGGAGATAATGACCTCGCGTTTCGCATGAACCACGTGGTGACACGCGTCTCTGCGAAACCGCACCCCTTCTGCCACATTGGTTGCGCCAACTGTAAATAAAAGGCGGCGGTCGTTGCAAATGAACGCTAATGCAGCTGATTTTAATAGAGTACTCCCGAACATGAATTATTATCGCCACCGACTTTCTGAAATATAGAAAGAGTTTGACAAAACATCGAACTTTTCCAAACCTTCTTTCACGAGAATCTTTTCCACCAACGAATCCAAACTGACGTGTAGATTCTTCCTTTTCGAGGCGGGTCGTATGAAAGCTTTGGCGGTGCTGCATCGCAGTCCATTCCTTACGGTACCGTGGGAGTACGTGAATCCGGTCTGATTTTCCCCGTTTATATCGCGTATCGGATATCCCAGTTCCTCACCGGAACGAACGATATAATCGATATCCGGCGAAGTATATTTGAAATGTTCCACCGTCAAGTATCCGCCTCTTTGGTGATACGGTGAATCGTGCAGATCCTCGGCCCTGGCGTCTTCGGACAGCTTGAAATACGGCAGGACGCTTTTATAATCCCATCCGGTGTTACCGAGTGACGCCCAGAAATCGTAATCTCTCTTATTACCACGGGAATATATCATCGCGTTTAACGTGCTGGAACCACCTAACACCTTAAAGATCGGTCATTACAGTTCAACTCTTGGCACTTCTTGCGATAAAAACACCGAAAAGTATTCACTGATAAATGAGTTTGCTTCGATCCATCACTCAATGGACAACCAAACGTGTTTCGGTTGAAGGAAATAGAACTCTCATGAACCAAATTTCGTTCTTATAACCACAGAAATTTCGATTGTCTATTGTCAAATGGATTCAATCAAACTCATTTTTCATTGTAGATACACTGGCAAGAAAAAAATACTTAAAAATTTATTTATGGAATATATAGTTCATTTCACAGAAATAAACCTCATTTCTCCTTTCGACCGTTTTATCTCTTGCACTGGGAAAAAAATACTTAGAAATTTATTTGTAGGATGTAAGATTCATTTCACAGAAATAAATATTATCCCTCTCCCCCCTCCCCCAAACAAATTTTCAAGTATTTTTCTCAGTGCGAGATGAAACGGTCGACAGGAGAGATAACACGCATATATTTCAGTTAACGTGCGTGAAAGTCAACGAGTTTAGACGTGAATGAAACCAGATCTACACATATATTCTTCGCAAGGTACCTTGCCCTGCGGTATTCTGCACTGATGATTCTTCATCGCCAAGCAGTAATTGGACGACGGTTCCGTCTTGTATTCCCAATTCATAAATGAACGCTGTATGAGCGTGTAAGTTAAGGGCATGTCGGACACGACCACTTCGTCAAGGCCTGCTTCCAACAGGAGCACGGTGTAATTTTTGTCCTCCGACAATCGATTGGCCAACACAGCGCCGGCTGATCCTCCGCCGACTATCACGTAATCATATTCGCGCAGCAGTTCCTCTACGGGCACGGATTGCACGCGATTCTCCTCGTCGACGATGTCCGGGCGCTGAGTGACAATGAGGCACCATATCACCGTGATGAGGAATCGTTCCGCGTGGAACGAAGATAACATATCGTCTATACTTAGATGAGCCATGGTCTCTGAATCGCAACGTTCGTCGATATTCGGTAACTATTAAACGTTAAGGTGTCCTGCCACGATTTACGAACTTTCATCCTCCATTGTTGGACAAACGGATTTCTTTTCTACGGGAAGGTATAATCTAGGTACGAGCGAGATTTTATACGAGGAAAATACGATCGCGATCGTAAATCACACAGCATGTAACGTGCACGAAAAATTGGAATTCGCGGAACAAGCCGCTTTCCGCGCTTCAGTCTTTTTAATACCTATTCAAAGAGGCCGTATATATAACCAATGTTATCAATGAATTTATCATTTGCATGCTTAAAATAATAGTCTCTCGATCTCGTATCGGATTGCCCTATTTTCTACCGCTGTGTTTAATTAGATAACCAGTTATTAGCTTACATTATTGAAATTACTCATATTTTCTGCTTATATAACTCATAGATAACTGCACAAGTAATTCAGATTTGCGCTTCTCCTCCTTTCATTTATCTCTTACATAACCTGGAATATCCCTCAACATTTATTTCTCTGCATTCTTCCTAATAAATTTAATTATTTTGGTAGGTGGACTTATTTTGATGTTCTAAGTTGATATATTAAAATTACTGTGAATAAGAATTTAAAAATAAATTATTGTTAATGAGAACTTAAGGCTACTTTTGTGACGCTCAATTTCGTGGCTATCGCGATGCACGATTATTGTATATCGTAATAATTCTGAACGTTTACGAAAAACAGTTCTCCTGTACTTTATACGCTCATTTTATTTAAATTGCATATACAAAACTGTTGTTAATATAACTTTCGATGATGCATATGCATCATATGCAAGTGTTTCTAGCACTGCCAGATGCTCGTAATATCTAAGATATAAGCGTTATTGCAATTTTCGACAGCGCGGGAAACGTCTTTTGTCGGGAATTACGTTACATTTTATTACTTAGAGCAAAAGGCTAAAAGTTTACTACATTTATTGTGAACCAGAACTTAGTTAAATTTCCAATTCGATTAAATTTTTTAAATCCTGCTACGTTAACGTACACAATAAAAATTTAGTGTTAAAGTATTCACCTTAGCTAAGTCGAAAGTCGAAAATTATCGGCAAGTTATCAATCTAGAGCAATATTCATTAAATATGATATAAAACGCGCGTTCTGTCCGACAAGGCGAAATCTAATACACGGAGAAAAAATTATAGCTACTTTGTCGGCCTCAACTATACCCTTTTTATGATTTTAACAACAAAAATAATAGTAGCAGCATGTACGTGAAGATTGTTATCATCGACACTATCGATAACACTTGAAAGAAAATTTATCCTGACTATAATTCTTTCACTATGATGATTATATTTGCAAGTGCAGATATTTTTCTCCCAATGTAAAGGTAAAGCTAGAATTATACTAAATTCATTCGGCGTATTCATGTGCGCGCACGATCAAGCCACGTCCCGCCAGTCCTCCTTTATCATGTCCGACGCCTTCTCCGCGATCATAATCACCGGTGCATTGGTATTACCGGAGACAATAGTCGGCATTATCGATGCGTCGACCACTCGCAGTCCCGCGACCCCGTGCACCTTTAATCTGGCATTGACCACGGCCTGATTGTCGCTAATAGGTCCCATCTTGCAAGTGCCAACCGGATGGTAAATCGACGTTGTCAAGTGACGCGCGTAACAAGCCCAATATTCGTCCGACGAAGCGTCGTACCGCACACATCCTTTAATTTTCCTCTGACCATATCGCGCGTTTATTTCCCGCATAGTGTGCGTGCGACTTATCTTCTCCATGAACCTTACGCTTTCCACCTAAAATCAGCGTAATTTGTTAAGCCTTGATTTTCTTCTTTACGTAAGTATTACGCATATATACGTTAGCGATACCAAAGCTCACGTAATACGGCATACCAGAACTTGCAGATCGCGAGGATCGTCGAAGTAATTGGGAACGATTTCGGGAGCCTTATTGGGATCGGCTGATTTGAGTTTGACGTGACCCCTGCTGCGTGGTCGAAGAAGAATTGCATAGAATTCGAAAGTGTGATGATTCGTCACATTGTCGTATAAGTCAGTGAGGACGTCCGGCTCGATGTCGTCGACATGTAATACGGCAATTCCAGCGTCTGACACAGTCGAGGCGCCCGAGAAGAGCAGCTGAATGTCTGGGTAGTCGGGCGTTTCGGCCGCGTATCTGTAATTGATCGAAGTAACCATGTATTAGTCCGGATCCATAATAGATGCAGAAAGCTTTTAACCTTTTGCTCTCAGCATTCAATCATGTAACGTGATTTCTAGCAAAAAGTGTTTCTAGCACTGCCAGATGCTCGTAATATCTAAGATATAAGCGTTATTGCGATATTCGACAGCGCGGGAAACTTCTTTTGTCGGGAATTACGTTACATTTTATTACTTAGAACAAAAGGCTAAAAGTTTACTACATTTATTGTGAACCAGAACTTAGTTAAATTTCCAATTCGATTAAATTTTTTTTATCCTGCTACGTTAACGTAATAAAAAATTTAGTGTTAAATTTAACACATTTCACGTGTCCCAAATGGTCCACACAAATTTTTGCGTTAATTTAACACAAGATGAATATGTTGAAAAGTAACATAAACATTGTGTCAAAAATTAATACAAAATTAATATTCATAATATATTAATAAACGTTGAAATATAAAATGTGTTATTTGGACATTTACAAATGTTATTTTAACACTCGTACAGGTTGAATATCAATTCAACGCAAAATATTGAGATAACATACACACAATATGTTAAATTGACACACGGATATGTAAAAAATTTAACACAAATATTTTAATAAGGATCGATTTTAACACAAATACAAGATATTTTTTACTATGTAAGAACTAAGGCTGAGTCGAATGAATTTTGGAAAGTCTTGCTCACTTGGTATTGACGAATGCCATTCCCCCGCCGACCAAAGTCATGTAGAGCATTCCGGAATGATTTCGTACCATTTGCTGAATGGTGTCCATCGATACGGATTTATATAGTTTCAGGGTGAAGTAATCCGGGTTCGGGATGCCGGGCGGAGGATCGACTTCGTAGAGTATCTCCATCGATATGTGATCTTGAAGATTCTGTCCTACGCCGGGTGCGTGGTGTACGACTGGGATCTTCATCTTCTCGAGATGATCCTGCGGTCCGATACCCGACAGCAACAGCAACTGCGGTGATTGTAGCGCACCCGCGGAGAGAATAATTTCACGTTTCGCATGAACTACGAAACGTTTCGTGCCCCTACGAAACTGCAATCCATATGCTATCTTCGATATGCCGTCTATAAATGAGAGTAGATTCTATTAATCATCAAGTAATAAAATAATTCTTTTGAACAAAATTTTTTTACATTATATTACAATATTATATATATATATATATAGTTATTTGCTATTATTTTTTATCTATAAAAATATCGATTCTGTCCCCAGGGATATATTTTCATGGAATGAAGTTTTCGTAGTCGAGTATCGATCTCTCTATTTTCACAAAATATAGAGTCGAAGACCTGATAGAATTTTCCAAACCGTTTCTCACGAGGATCTTCTCCGCGAACGATTCCAAGCTGACGTGTAGATTCTTCCTTTTCGAGGCGGGTCGTATGAAAGCTTTGGCGGTGCTGCATCGCAGTCCATTCCTTACGGTACCGTAGGAGTACGTGAATCCGGTCTGGTTTTCCCCGTTTATATCGCGTATCGGATATCCCAGCTCCTCACCGGAATGAACGATATAATCGACGACCGGCGAAGTATATTTGAAACGCTCCACCGTCAGGTATCCGCCCCTTTGGTGATACGGCGAGTCGTGTAGATCCTCGGCCCTGGCGTCTTCGGACAGCTTGAAATACGGCAGTATGCTCTCATAATCCCATCCGGTGTTACCGAGTGCCGCCCAGGAATCGTAATCCTTTTTGTTACCGCGAACGTATAACATCGCGTTGAGCACGCTGCTACCACCCAGTACCTTGAGAATCGATCGTTATGATTCAGCTTGAATCTTAGCTGTTTAGGATCTGACATTTTAGACTTCTATAAGGGGGGGGGGGGGGAGGTTGCAGAGAAATTGGCTTCCGGGATGACATTACCTCCTTCATGGATCTGTTCCTAATGTTTCGTGAACATTCCATTACTTCTTCCAAGGCACGGCCTTGAAGAAGAGCCAACTGGAACATTTACGAAATGTCGGTAGAAAAGAAACTCACGAAGGACAATCGGAAGCACTAATTCGGAAGCCAAATCAAGCACACCTCTGTGATATTCCATCGCACATGTTTGGTTGAAAACAAATATATGAGCCAACGGATTTGCTCTCGTCTTAGGTACTACCTTGCCACGTGGAAACCTGCATTGTTGATTCCGCATCGCCAAGCAGTAATTGGGTGACGGTTCTAATTGAAAGGACCAGTCCAAATACGTGCGTTGCAAAAGTGGGAAAAGGGACGGCACGTCTGACAAGACTGGCTCGTCCGTACCGGCTTCGAGCAGCAGCACGGTATTATCTTGGTCCTCCGACAATCGACTAGCCATCACAGCACCGGCTGATCCTCCGCCGATCACGATGTAATCGTACTCGGCTAACAACTCCCGCGTTGGCACCTGTCGCACGCGATTCTCCTCGTCGAGGACGTCTGGACGTAGGTGGATGATGAAGTACCACAATACCGCGATGAAAAACTTTTCCGACCGGAACGAGGCCAGCATACGTGTCGCGGTCAGACGAACCATTATTTTATGGAGTTCGGGACTGTTGCGACAAGTAACGAGACTGCTCCGGCTCCTGAATCGCACTGCGTTAATTGAACCGAACTTAACTTTTTAAGCACGACCGTTAATTTAGTCGACAATTTCACATTTAGTCACTGCTGTCACATTGTACGCATTTTAATGTGTATTTTATACGTAAGATATCGAAATGCGCTAAGCTATACGTTTTATTATCCAAACGTCAGCAGTTTTTATTTCCATCCTTGAAAAATGCTTGCGTACTTGTTTAATTGACCGACTTATTATTTTTATCAAACGATGAAAAGAAATTTACTTTCCGCGCGGATGTTAGATCGTTCTGTTTTTTTTATCATTTAATATTATATTTAACGTTTAATAAATCGCCTATTGACGTGTAATTCACGCGGATAATTCCAGGGAATTAGAATCATGTGTCTCGACGATATTCGACGTGAAATCGACCGAGAATAATTGCAGGCGACTGATCTCGCGATTAGAACAAATCGTGTAGAGATTGGTAACTTCGTCTGTCCGCGGAGAGATTATTATTTTTCTTACATATTTTACACCTATATCTCTATATTGCGGAATATAATACTAATATTTTATTGCGTCGCATTATAAGCATGACAACTTAGACACACATATATGTACACAACGAATCATGCGTTCTCGACACTTCGGGTTGTCCGGAAGAAATTCGCTCGAAATATCCCGGAAATTGCAAAACCTCCTTCACCGCGCATTGGTAACATTCATATCACTCTCGTTGTAGCGCGCTCACGTCTGTCCGTGTGTCCGTAGTTGATCGTGCCCGCCTAATTACTGTTTACTAAACTCAGGCGGGTGCTTCCGTTTCAGCCAATACTCCTTGATCATGTCGGCGCCTTTCTCGCCGATCATGATCGTGGGCGCATTCGTGTTTCCACTTACGAGATTCGGCATGATCGAGGCGTCGATCACGCGCAGCCCAGCCACGCCGTAAACCCGTAGCTGCGGGTCGACCACAGCGTCGGGATCCCAGTACCCTCCCATCTTGCATGTGCCAACCGGGTGGTATATCGTCGCACTGTAATGTCGAATCATGCATTCCCAGTAAGGATCCGTATACATAGGGATATGCTTGCACCCTGGGAACTGCATCGAGTACAGCTCGCTGCCGAATCGTCGGAAGGCGGCTGTCCTGCTCAAGGCCACGCTGATCTTCACTCCTTCCACCAGCGTGGCCATGTCCTCCGGTTCCTTGAAGTAGTTCGGATAGATGAGAGGGTGGTCGAAAGGGTTCTTGCTGCGCAGCTTGATGACACCGCGGCTTTTGGGCCGCAGCAGCATGGGGATCACACTCCACGTGTCCTTGTTGTTGATCGGCCCGTAAACGTTGTCATAGAATTGCTTCGTGAGCCCGTGCACTTTACGTAGCTGAGTGCCACCGTCCGAGTTGATCGAGCCGGAGACGAAGTGCAACTCGATGTCGGGATAGTCCAGCGATGCGTTCGCGTACTTGGAGTTGACGAAAGCAACGCCCTCGACGCCGCCCGGCACCGTCAGCGGCCCGTCGCCCAGCACGGCGTATTGTATCACTACCTGGGTGTTCTCCAGCCGCTTCTGCACCATGGAGATCTCCTGATTCACCATGAATGTGAGTCCACCTAGGCCGACGTGGTCCTGAAGATTTTGCCCAACCTGTGAAAGCGAGAGGAGTTTTGTATAAGGACACATTCAAAGAAATAAATCGGCTAAATCTTGTTGGCTAATTCGAACCTGGCTGTCATTGTTAAAAATTGGCTGTCGGAGGTAAAATGCGTTCGCTGCGAGATACAACTTGATTAGTTGAAGTTATTTCTTATGAAGTTATTTCTCAACTTGATTAGCTGAAGTTAGCATAGAATAGTTAAGGTTGGTTAGCTACGAGGGTGGTCCCTGAAGTACCTGACCCAACAAAGAAAACACAAAAATTTTGGAAAAAAATGTATTTATTTTTCAACATAATCTTCTTTCAGCTCTATACACTTTTCCCAGCGATGTTCAATAAGTTCGATACCCTTTTTATAATAAGAACTGTTTTGTTTCTCAAAATAGTCATTAACTGCCGACATCACTTCTTCATCGTTGGAAAATCTTTGACCACTGAGCCATTTTTTCAAGTTTGGGAACAGAAAATAATCCGAGGGGGCGTTTTTTGCTGTGAAACTTCGCTAAACATTCAATTGAAACATCTTCACGACACTGTTTTTGCTCGAGTGTGAGCAAACGCTGGACGTAGGTGGATGATGAAGTACCACAATACCGCGATGAAAAACTTTTCCGAAAAACACACCTATCTTGCACACAGCTTTCTCATGTCCAAATTTTCAGATAATATGCGATGTACCGCGCTTTTTGAAATGCCTACTGTCTGCTAGCTCGCGCACTTTCAGTCGACGATCATCCAGTACCGCTTTGTGGATTTTCTTCACCATTTCTGGAGTCGTCACCTCATTTGGTCGACCACTGCGATGCTCGTCTTGGCAGCTCGTACGGCCTCGTTTAAACTCTGCTACCCAATATTTTACTGTTGTAAACGAAGGAGCAGACTCACCCAGAGTAGAATCCAGTTCAACTTTTATATTGATTGAGCTGAGGCCTTTCAAATAAAAGTATTGTATCACATAACGATGACCAATTTTCTCCATTTTCACAAATTCACTAAAAACGTTCACTATTGATGGCTGCCAAACAAATACTAAACAACGTGGCGTCTTCAAACTTGAAACATATGCTTTATAGATTGTGTACTTTTTAATACAGTGATGTTTTTCAAACAATTACCGCCATCTCTAGGTCAGGTCGGGTACTTCAGGAACCACCCTCGTATACCGGTTATATCATATACAGACAAAACATGTTTATATCTATCGATCGAAATGGTAAATGTAGTAACCTATACAGAAAGGAAAAGGATTAGCTCCTACAGCTAAAAACTGTGAGAGGTATTTAGTGAGAGAATGTGATACAGCTGAAATATATTTATCAGGCCTAGTTTTTAGTTGTGGGAGCTAATTCTTATGACGAATGATCGTACGCGGAAAAAAGAATTAGCTATGGACCAGTTTTAGATGTGAGAGCTAATTCTTTCTTCTGTTAGAGTCCATCGGCGCGATGTTTTTCAAATACAATATAGCATTAAATCAAATAAATGACTAAATTTCAAACAAAATCAGCATACTAGCATCTCAAGGATAGCTTCTGTTAAAAAAAAGCAATACATTTTTTTTAATATTCGGGAGCGTGAATATGATTTTAGTACGATCTAGTTAATATTTCTGGGCTACAGCGCCTAAATTCAAATAACTAATAAACTTAGCCGCGGTAATAACGACATTAGCAGTCCTTATTTCAAAGACATATCTTAGCTGCCATATTTAGCAGCTATATTTTAGCTCCGACGGCTACTTCTTTCTCTGAGTGCAAGTAAGATAGAAACTGACGTGAAGTCGAGCAACGTTGAACATCAAATCCGGAGATCAGAATTTCTAAGAAGACTTGGGAGACGGGGAATCGTGAAACTCGTACGCTAACCTTCGAATTCTGTATCACGGGGATCCCGAATTCCTGCAGATGCTTCTTTGGCCCTATTCCGGACAACATCAGCAGTTGGGGCGAGTTGATCGCGCCACCGGATACGATCACCTCCTTGTTCGCGCGTATACGGAACACCTTGCCGTCTCTGACGAACTCCACGCCGTAAGTGCGCTTCGACTTTGGATGTATCAGCACTTTGGTCACGTGCGCGTGCATCGCCACGTGCAGGTTCTTCCTGAGCCGCACCGGCCTGAGGAAGGCCTTCGCGGCGGAGCAACGGCTGCCGCGCCTGAGTGTGCCCTGCACGACCATAAAGCCGGTTTGATACTCGCCGTTGATATCGCGATTCTCATAGCCCATTTCTTGACCGGCTTGGACGAAGGCCGCTGCCAGAGGCGTGTGCCAAGGCGCCTCCTGCACCGTCAGGTATCCGCCATCGGCGTGGTACGGCGTGCGGACCAGGTATGGATTTTTGTTGTCCTCGGACTTCTTGAAATAGTGCAAGACCTCGCGCCAGCCCCAACCAGGATTGCCCTGCTCCTCCCATGTGTTGTAATCCCGCCGATTGCCGCGCAAGTAAAGCATGTAATTTAAGACCGACGAGCCTCCGATCACCTTGCCCCTCGGCCAGTTGCACTGACCGTTCTCCATCGCTGGAAAGGAAAAAAACCCGGCCGAGAAAAATTAGTATCGATCCAATTCTCTCATATTCTCGTGTATAAAAGCAAGAGTATATAATCTTATATATGAAGATAGAGAGAGAGTTGTTTTTATACATGAATAAATTTATTAGTTATTAATTATGTACAATTACTATATAATTTCATTCAAAATCTTGTTATTCTTGTTATTCAAAAATAATTTTTACGAAAGGGGAAAGTATCGTAGAAAGAACGATACTTTCGAACTAAAAATTGCATCAGTTATAACATCTTTTTATTCACAATATTTGTCCCCTCTCAATTCAGGAAAATTAAGCTCGAATAACATAAATATATGTTTAATGCTACTGTATAGAACTTCTTCTTGTAAGAGTTCTAATAAAAGATGTAAGAATTTCTTCTTTATATCTTCATACAAGATCATGCATTTTTGCTTATATATGGGAATATGAATTTTTAAATGATACTAATTTCCTTTTCTGTGCGTGGAGTACAACCTGTGACTTCATATTCGTCGCCCATAATTTCTGTATCGCGTTGCCGCGATGGTACGTCGCAATATAACGTGATTCGAGTTTAATCGAGAATAACTACGAGAGATACCTAGACAGGCACCGATCTGCGGCTCGGTCTTGTATTGCCAGTCCAATTGACTGAGCTGGAGATAGCCGGCGAGCAAGGGCACATCCGAGATCTCCGTCTCGTCGCCGCCCGCTTCCAACAGCAGCACATTCCACTTCTCGATCTCAGAAAGACGATTCGCCACCACGGAACCTGACGTCAAAGCGGAGGAAGACGCGTGTGTCAGACGCGTGTGTCGTCATTAGGGAAAGTTTCGTATGGACGTACCTGCCGAGCCGCCGCCTATCACTATGAAATCATACGAGTGTAATAGCACCTCAGACGGCACGTTAATTGGCGGCGCCTCGTTGTCCATAACTTCGTAATGGAAGTAGACGAGCGCCGCGGCGAGGACTGGATAGAACCAAGAGAACCCGGTCGAGGCCGTGGTCAAACCCCCTGCCAGAACGCTCTCGATGCCCATTTTACCTTCCTCGAGCTTCCTCTTATCGATGCCCTCTTATCCTTGCACCTGGAGCACACGTAATAGAGACGATATTAGACACGTATTACGCTGAGAAGATTTCTTCAAATTTAATTTTCAAATTTTCAATTCCAATTTTTATCGTCCAAACAAACTTCATCATTGACATACTCCAAAGAAACTAATGTTTCGATTAATAGGTATGTTTGTTAGACTTTTCGACGAATATGTACCTTTATTTTAAATGAAAAATTTGTTTGAAGCGAAAGATAATTTTCTCACAAGGAAATTATTTGTTTCATTTTACGTATTTATCGTAACCAAATAATATTTTATAATGATTACAGGTACAAATATCAAGTATTTTTCTTTCAACTTATAACGTCTTTTCTCTTTTCTCTCGTCAGTGTGAAATTTACTAATCCAATCGGCACCGCCGGCAAATCCTTATGTTTAATCAAACGACATTGCTTTTTTCCACGACTTAAAGAGCTTTTTCTCGGGAAATATTTGACCTGATCGATACGACGCGCCGTACTGTCGAAATGGCTAGCTCGATGATCAGCGACCCATTATATAGAAATCGCCGAGGAGGCACCCACGTGGCGTCCGTGGTTTGCGCGATCTCAATGCGCAGAGAATATCAATCGCTCGTGAAACTTTCAGTTGTTAATACATCACCTTCAGCTCATCACATATCCCATGTTTGAAGTCTACGTTGAAGTCGGCTTCTGAGGGGCCTCGTTTGTGCACTTTCTTATGATCACGTACTGATGGTGAATGCCGAAAGGAACGAATGTCAAAATGCAGCGAAGAGGTGGTATTTCTACACCGAAAAGACTTCGGCGCGATCGTCAATGTCACGCGGTTTTTGGAAACGAGTTTTGGGGATAAAACGTTGCTATTTCTCCGACTGGATAGTCACGTAACGGCTGTAGTTGTCCTTGAGATTGAGGTCTAGATTAGATTAGACAGACAATATTTGCGATTATCTAAGGTTGAATTTAATTGTGTTTGGCAATTTGCGAACTGTTCCTCGCTCCGCCGTTTATCGCCGATTTTTATGTCTTTTGTAGGTTTCCGTGCCGCGGAGGTCAGGACTGTAATTCGACAAATAATTACTGACAATGATGCGAGTCCTGCTTCCCGATTATGCCGCGACCGCAATTGCTTATAATAATTGGATTTAGACGAATCTTAAAGGAAGCTTGCGTAAACGAAGTCTTTCTTTTAACTATAGATATTTTTCATTTTTATTTAACTTCAGACATTTCTTTTAATCTCAAGAATAGAGGTCGAGAATATGAAAAATAATATTATCGCCCGTGACAAGTGTGACATAAAACTGGAGAGACACGATTCCGCAAGTAAAGGCGAGGGAATCACGGAAACGCGAAGAACATTGCTCGTCGTACCAACGTGAGTTAAATAAACAAGTAGCTAACACGAGCTAAACGATTTGAAAAGGAAAGCTGCACTGGTTTGCCTACTTCCTCATACACGGCGGAGAATGTGTATTCTAGAAGTTTTCAACAAATCCCGAAGTACCGGCGCGACATATAATATATTTTCAATTATCAAAGATAATTTACTCGTCTTCTTCAATTTAATTCATCATTCATTCTTCTATATAACTTCTAATTCGCCACTAATGATTGAATTGAACAGAAAGAATCAAGCTTGGTCTACAATGTGCTCTTCGCGTCTTCTTTCTTGCTCTCTATCTATCTTTCGTAAGAACTTCCATTTACTTATAGAAAAGATATAAAGAGCAAGAAACAAAGAGCACATTGTAGGTCAGGCTTAAATCTCGAAGATCCCTTTTGAGAATCATATTTACCTCTTCCTCAAATTCCCCCAATCTCCGGTTTTCTCGCGTGAGTTCTCGATGCACCGTAAAAATTCCAAAGCAAGCCAGACTTCCCTCTCTCTTTCTCTCTCTCTCTCTCTCTTTTTGAACACCTTGAGTAAAATACTTCAGCGGCTAAAGACGCGGGTACAGTCATCCGAAAGAATGATTTCCTCGGTCACGACGTCGCGCGTCATCGTCGGACGCTATCGGGGAACCCAAGGAAATCGCAGCGATGCGAACCGGCGCGAGGAGACGAACGATATTTCTCGACCAAGTGTAACACTGACCGTGGCCTTGCTCCTACCTCGACTACCCGCGCACTGTCATCCGCAGGACCGGTGTCTCATTGAAATAGCATCGGCCGCACGCACCGATAGATTTCCGTGTTCTTTAGTCCTGCGGACGCGGCAATATAACGGTCATCGACATCGCCTCTCTCTTCTTCCTTCGAGTATTCTCTTTGTCGAGCCGGCGAGCCGGTCTCCCATCTCTGACACCACGCGCCTTATGTCCCGTTCTCCGTTATTCCCCGCCCGTCTTCCTCGAGGAACGCGGTCCCCAGCTGGAAAGTGACGTGCGCGGCGATCGGAGTGACGGAGAGACCTAGTTGTCGGCATGAAAATAATCATCCGAGTTAGGTCGAACAGTGAAAAGAAAAACGCGATCGTTGTCGGAAAACTCGCTTTATCGGAGGAGAGAGAGAGAGAGAGGAGGAGGAGGTAAACTTTCCGTTTGTCCGGTCTCTCTTGATTTTGGGCGCGCACGCTAAGCGAGGCTCTTTCGCGCGAATGCGTGGAACGAATTCGCGATTTTTTCTCCACCACGAAGCACCACGAATTGATTGCGACGCGACCTCGCCGCTCTTGATTACAATGTGGTTAAGCCCTGGAAAAATTGGGACGAACGTTTCCTTTTTTAATCGCCGATCACACGTTACGTGACGTATCTCACGTTAACCGGGGATGCGGGCAGCTCGTGACGTCATTCGCCGAGCAGCCTTACGGTAAAGTGTTACTCGTTCCCCATCGGAACGACCTACTTATCGTTGCGACATGAGCGCATATTTAACGATCGTCCAGAATTACAAATTAATCGATAGCATCGTGGCCGTTGCGTACACATCCTAGAAAGTAAATTTACAGCGTAAACCGACGGAAGATCGCCGTGAGATGAAGCAACGACTTCCGGCAAAGAGAGAGAGAGAAAGAGAGAGAGAGAAAGAAATGGTGTCCAAATTGACACGTTCGCCGCGGATCTCGGTCGTTTAGACAGATTAATCAAACGCGGGATATGTCCGCGCGAACTCGGATGTCGAAATGAAATTTCCTCGCGAGAGAGCGCATAGGCTAACATCCGAACTGTCGAATTTCAGGAGGATGCTGCGGTTCCATGAGGAAAAGGACCATCGTGGGCGGCTACGCGTTCACCTGGTGGTTCGTCACCGACGTGCAACGGCTCTCGTTGGAGGTGATGACCCTGAATCCGGTGTGCGAGAGCGTGGAGACCGCGCAGGGTGTACCGCTGACGGTTACCGGGGTGGCACAGTGCAAGATCATGAAGGCGGACGAATTGTTGCACACTGCCAGTGAACAGTTCCTCGGCAAGAGCGTACACGAAATCAAATCCACGATCCTCTCCACCTTGGAGGGTCACCTCCGAGCCATACTAGGTAAGTTCGATCGCTGTTGAAGTCCTGGTCGGCCGGTCTTCCCCGAGAACGCGAAAGGGAAGGCAGGAGGATCTCGAAACTTTGTAAAATAGGATAAATAAATGAAATAGATAGGTAGTTTATTATTCTATGGAAATATAAATTAAGCATAGGTAAATTAAGTATACGTAAAACAATTTCGGCTGAAAAGCCGTTATAGAACGTGTAATGAGAAAAAAAACAGCAGCAAATACGCAGCATAACGCAGTAAGAAATGGGATAAAAAAATAATAATATACTATTGGTTGACAGTAGCAAATTATAAATAATAATCTGTAGAACGGAAAAATGATAACAGCAGCAAAGCAAAAATTAAAAGAATAAAGAAAAAAACACTCAGAAATTATAAGAAAAACAAATTAGTAATTAATTACTACAGCGAAGCCTGGTACACCGCATCGACTGCTCTCTGATTCACGGGGAAAAGGAAAAAAATTATAAATATAAATGAAAGAAAATAAATAAATAATATAATATATAATATCAGTTAAAGAAAAGAGAGAATAGAATAGAACAGAATCTACTTTATTATGTTCTAGAATAAATTCTGTAAAAGTAACGAATGATACAACATAAATATACAGACCATATTATATTAAGTTTCTATGATATACAATTAAATGTTAGAAATTAGAACAGGCAAATGAGAGCCAAGCATAATTGTTAAATGTGGATATATTTCTTTAATTTGAAAAGATAAATCTGAGAAGAATTGAAGAGATAAATATGTTTGGTACAGTATGATAACACACAGGAGATTTTTCGTGCGTTGAAATTCTGACGAAATGTCAGCGCATGCGTTATTGCACTGTCAAACATATTTATGATTATAAATATAGAGACAATCGCCACAAAAGAAAAGAGAAAGGATAAAAAGAAATGGGACAAGAAGAAAGTAAAAAAATTAACACGTTAACTGCCACGTCAGTTACCAGTGACTGACACTGAACTTTCCGTTCGGGCTGCGTCAGTCACCGGTGACTGACAGTATAAAATACGATATAAAACTGAAAGAATTACATAGTTTTAATCAATTTTAAGTAATTTCAGGATCGTGTCATTAATGTACTTAAATATTTTTTATCAAAAAATTTTAATGGATTTTATTGAAGCTTCATTGCGCTTGGCATTGCTATATCACAATACCAGCGCACTTCTAAGCAGCTCACGTGGCCTGACGGAGATTTCCTCCGAAATGCGCGTGGCAGTTAATGTGTTAAGAATAAAAAGTACAAATTACAAAAATAGTAATGATAATGAAAACGTAAGATTCATCATGGGATGAGGATATACGAGGAATAGGGCATGGTCTGATTTCAACGGGGGACGGAATTATTTCCTTCTCGCAGATTTGTAAGGAGAATTCGTGTTCTGCAGGAACACTCTCGGTGGAGGAGGTCTATAAGGATCGAGATCAATTCGCAGCTCTGGTGCGGGAGGTCGCCGCGCCGGATGTCGGTCGCATGGGCATCGAGATCCTCTCGTTCACGATAAAGGACGTTTACGACGACGTTCAGTACTTGGCATCGCTCGGCAAAGCCCAGACAGCCGCCGTTAAGAGAGACGCCGACGTGGGAGTCGCTGAAGCGAATCGAGACGCCGGAATTAGGGTGAGTCTCTGTCTGGGAGATACATTTACGAAGAAATAAAGAAAGCTTCTCGAGGAAAAATAGAAAATTTAATTCGCATTTATTATTGTGTGATAGGAAGCCGAATGCGAGAAGTCGGCGATGGACATCAAATACAACACCGACACCAAGATAGAGGACAATGCGAGACTTTATCAGTTGCAGAAGGCTAACTTCGACCAAGAAGTGAACACAGCGGTATGTCAGTTACTCATCAATCGTGACGAAACTGTAAAGCGACCGTTTACGTCAAACTTAATCTTTAATCGTAAAAGCCAAATGTGTAAAACATTTTTATTACTACATAAATTTGATATGAAGGATTAAAATAAAAAGAAAAGTAAAAAAATATCAAAGTCTCGAGAATCCTTGAAAATATATTATCATATATTTCGACCCCGCCATTTTCAGTGATAGTTATGAATTTATCAGATGTAAGGCAGATATTGCTTGCATCTGATAGATTTCCAACTGTCGTTAACGATTACTAAAAGGTGAGACTGAAACGTACGTCGGTATATGTTCATGGATTCTCGTTTTTACCTCTCGTACTTACCTTCTGCTCGTTTTCTTATTTTTCTCGTTTTCTTACTAGATTGAGAATATAAATAACCTTTTCATACAAACGTACACAAATTTTTAACGTTATTTTTTAATTTTGTTCGTTTTTAGAAAGCCGAGGCGCAATTGGCTTACGAGCTTCAAGCGGCGAAGATAAAGCAACGGATACGAAATGAGGAAATACAAATAGAAGTCGTAGAGAGGCGTAAGCAAATCGAAGTCGAGGAACAGGAGGTTCGTCGAAAGGAGCACGAGCTTCAGAGCACGGTGCGATTACCAGCTGAGGCCGAGTACTACAAGATGGGCAGAGTAGCCGAAGGCAAGAGGTGAGCGAGGTTTCATCGCCGTAATATAGTCATAAATTCTGTTTAAGATTCTTTTCACGCAACATCTCTGAATACCAATGAGAACATTAGAACGCTAGTAATTTGTGCGTGAATATTCTCAACTTTAGCGAGAGGTTATCCATAAAAAGTATACGTCTAAACGACGTATCAGACATGTCGTTTAGAAGTTTTATTGTACCAAAAATATCTTTATGATGTCTTAGGACGTCATAATGTCCTGAGAATAGAAACCTTCCGATACATAGAGAAGAAGCTTTCTTTAAGTTTAGTATTTCTATCTGTTTGACTAAAATTTGTCTCGTAGAAACCACATATATACGAGGGGGGACCCAAAAAAAATCGGATTTTTTGTATAAAAACTTTATTTCTTAACTTTTTTACAAAATTCTTTCAGTCACCTTCAAAGTACTCTCCATTAGATGCGATGCACTACGACTTGTTAAGTCTTTTCTCCCACTGTTTGAAGCATCTCTGGAACTCTTCAACTTTGATATCGTCCAGTGCCCTTTGCGAAGCTGTTTTTACCGCCTCCACATCATCAAAACGCTTCCCTTTTCACTAAAGTCATTACAGGTGATGAGAGTTGGTGTTACGGGTATGACTCAGAAACTAAGCAAGCGTCAAGCCAGTGGAAGACTCCCAACTCTCCCAGACCAAAAAAAGCAAGACAAGTGAGGTCGAATGTGAAGACGATGATCATTGTCTTTTTTGATGTTCGTGGAATTGTGCATCGGGAATTTGTTTCCCCTGGCCAGACTGTTAACCAGCACTTTTATTTGGAAGTTTTAAGACGTTTACGAGAGGATGTGCGGAGGAAACGCCCGGATATTTGGCGATCAGGTGACTGGTTCCTTCATCATGACAACGCCCCCGCACACAGAGCCTTACGAATGACCCATTATTTGGCCCCTCGGGGATGGCCTGTAGTTCCTCACGTATTCACCAGACCTAGCCCCGTGCGACTTTTTTCTGTTTCGTGGAATGAAGAAAAATCTAAAAGGGAAGCATTTTGATGATGTGGAGGCGGTAAAAACAGCTTCGCAAAGGGCACTGGACGATATCAAAGTTGAAGAGTTCCAGAGATGCTTCAAACAGTGGGAGAAAAGACTTAACAAGTCGTAGTGCATCGCATCTAATGGAGAGTACTTTGAAGGTGACTGAAAGAATTTTGTAAAAAAGTTAAGAAATNGGGTCCCTCCTCGTATAACGAAATATTATTTATTGGGGTAAAAATGGTAGTGTCTCATTCCAGAAAACTCGATTATTTAACCGAAAGAACGTTAATTTTTTAAAATAATATATTTTAACCAAATAAAATATTATTCGGTCACGATAAATATGTAAAATGAAACAAATAATTTCCTTATAAGAAAATTGTCTTTCGTTTCAAACAGATTGTTTATTTAAGATAAAGATACATATTCGTTGGAAAGTCTAGCAATCGTACTTATTAATCGAAACATTCGTTTGTTTCTTTTTTTCTTTTCTAAGTATGCTGATGATGACATTTGTTTGGACGCAATAAAATCGATTAAATTTGAAGAAATCTTTTTCTCAGTGCAGTGTAACGCATACGCTGGTCTCTTTTTTCCAAACTCTCAACGAGCACGAGTGGTACTGTGTAGTAGCCATCTTTCCACTTTCGAGCCGACTTTCTTCATTTGCAATGAATATTTCTAATTCGTACTCCTCTGATATCCCCACTGTCGGGCAATTTTATCCTCTCGCCAAAATTTGGAATCTCGCGTTTAACGTCCAGCGACGGCTCCTATTATTGTCCTATTACCGTTTATTTATCTTCAGAGCCTTCGATAAATTTCTTTGTTTCTGAATACCGTGTATATTTTAGGACTTATAGACTAGCTATAGTCACGTGCAAAGATGCTCACTTTTTTGCGCGATTCAATCGGAAATCCGAAAGAATAATTACGATTCGGTCTTCGATCCCCCCTGTCCGTCGTTGTTCTTTATTTAACGCAGGGATATGTTGTTGATTCGCCGGTAATAAGCAGATGCCGCCCCGCGATTAGACGAGGTTCGACTTCTTCCGTGGAGAGATTCAAAGGGATGACTCGCGAAAGCGCGACGCTAATTGGGTTACGCCGTTTAACCCGACCGCATCTGGTTAAGGGACGCGGTCTTAGAATTTCAAATCGCTTCGAGTCCGGTTCGAGACAGGGCGCTCTCCCCCTACTGACTCGTTTTCGGAGGGGAGCTGTGGCGGGGTGAACACGAGTCTGCGAGTC